TGGAAGCTCCTGACTCAAAGGTGCAGAGCCTATTCTAGAGAGAGGTTTGCTCACCTTCACACCTCACTCCCCTGCGTCCCTGCACTACAGAAGCTGGGCCTGTCAAGTACGCATGCTCCTCCATGTCTTTGTCTCTATCTCTAGATGTCACGTGGTGCACTTCTGCCGGGTGTTGGGGGGGAGCAGTATAAGTGGAGGTCTGTCTTGAGATTTCTTGGAAAACTCTTGCCTTCTTGATACAGGAGTCACCCTCTGTCTTCTCCCAATTTCTGCCTGGAATGCAAATACGATTTCTAGGGCTGCAGCAGCCATCTTGCAACCATGAGGGGACCACTCTGAAGATTAAAGCCCATGTGCTCAGAGGTATAAAGTGGATGGAGAGAGGCAGGGTCCCTGGCAGATTTTTTTGGATAGTTTAATCCATGCTTGTAATAGCTGACTTCCAGATCTGTGAAAAAAATAAGCATTCATTTTTAAATGATTATCGCCAGGTTTCTGTTCTTTGCAACTATCTCCATTCCAACCAACTGCAGTGTCCAGCACCGCGTGGTCAGTGGTGCAAACCAGCACGTAGGAGCAAGCAGTGGGGGCAGTGTCGCCAAACCAGTTCCGCGGCATTGTTTCTGGTCACTCCTCCTTCTGAAGTCCTGAAGATTTCACGAGCTACATAACGTGCCTTTAGTGCATTCTTTTCTGCTTAAATTCACCAAAGTAAAAAAAAAAAAAAAAAAAAAAAAAAGGTGAGGTCCTTTGGACACAGAGGCGCACACAGGGAGACCACTGTGAGGATAAAGACAGACGGGGCAAAAAATTAACCAAAGTCCATTTCTGTTGCTTGCCAGCAAGAATCCTGAGAAATTCAGAAACTGACCCCAGAAATGGCGGGAACAATGCACCCTCAGGGGTGGGGAGGTTTGAGATCGACTGTGTGCTCTGGTTGGATCTAAGGACACTAAAAATCCAGGCTGCATTCAGATAGTTCAGGACACAAATGATCCCTTGCAGTCACTTGCAATGAATATCACCAGCACAGTGAAGTTAAGGCATCGAGAAACCAAGAGAACGGCATGGGGCACCGGGGACCCACAGCTGTGTGGGGAGGGGCCACGCAGACGGGAATGGCTGGAAAGCTTAGGCAGTGAATAGCGGGGCCCTGGGTCCGGGCCCAAGGCAGCCTGCAAACCAGGACTTCCACTGGCCGTGAAGATAAGAAGAGTATCTTATCTTTTGCAACCACAGCTAAACCAAAAGGGAGATCTGTGGGTTCCTGATCACAACATTTGTTTGCTTCACAACTTCCTCTTGTCCCACAGTGAGCATCAGGAGACTCTGACTGGGGACCTGTGAGACTGGGGAGGTAGAGGGCACGAAGCTTCCCTGCTCCCTGTGTACACTGCTCCTCACTCGCTTCAAGACCCACAATGTTCTTGCCTCAGGAAGTCACTCTGCAAGGAGGAATGCAAGTCCCTTTGTACCTGACTCCTCTGTCTTTAGACCAAAACCATAGGTAGATGATAACATGTCCTTCATGTTCTAAAACCAAACCTGGATGGAGGAGACTTCTATACCAAAGGAAAGGCGAGATTTTGCTCTTTATCTTGGTAAACGTCTTGGAAACACTCCTGAGGGTGTTACCAGTCCTGAGGGTGCTCAGCCAGGCAGAGAAGAACAGGACGCTTCCTTCCCAAGACAGCATGGCAGGGCTGAATGACTCCTGGTGCCTCATACCAAGAAAAGTTGACGTGCCTGAATCTCTTTGGCCTCACGTAGGAGCAGGAATCCAAGGAAACAGGAATGTTGGTGTGGACATATTGTGCATGGCCCACTTACCAGTCCCCTAACGGTGGCCCCTGAGAGGGGCCAGAAGATACTCCTTTCACCCACTGAGACATACACAGGTGAGGGAAGTGCCACCACCTCTCGTGAGCATGGCCATGGCTATTTTACATACGGTGGGGAGCTGCTGGCGTTAAACGGACCCAGGACCCTCGGTGTCCAAGGCCAGTGGGGCACAGCCACCAAGAGAGGAGAGGCCACCTCAGCAGGAGTCATGGCCACCGCGACCACGCCGGCCAAGTCTGGGGGTCAGACGTGCCTGCCCGTCGGACATCTTCGACAGAAGGGAATTGATCATGAGCCCCTGAGACCAAAATAGATGGGCAGCCCTGTACGGTCTACATAATAGCCCATGTGACAGAAGCAAACCAAAAGCTCCCTAAGTCAACTACAGACAATCTGGTACCCATACCAATTCTTAGACCTGAACTTTAATGCAACAGGAGTGGTAAATTCCTATAACACCCCACAACAGTCCAGTTGATGTAGAAGATGCACGGGTCTTGAAGAGTGGCCACAGGTTATCACAAACTTAATAAGGTGGTGACATCAATATAGCCCCTCAAGGAAAACGATTTTTTTCTCATTCCCGGTAAGTGAAGGACTCCAACAGCTGCTTAGCCTCACCTAGCAAGGATGACTTTCGACCTTGCTCCTGAACCAGGACAGCTCTGGCGCCCTGCCACAGTTCCATCTGAAGAAAACGCAATCACCTCGATGTTCCTCAGGACCTCAGTCTATGCAGTTCTCGGACCAGGAACAGTAGTTACTCTAGATGTTAGTAAGAAACATGCAAATTGTGGTGTGAGAAATAAACCTCATGAATCTACAGGGAGATTCACCGTGACCTCAGGGAGGCGTTTCAGCAGGCCCACAGTCTAGGTTGAGCAATGGCCTCCAAAGTGGAGGATGGGTTGTGGAACCTCGCACGACCGACTCCAGGAACGAGAAAGACGATGCTTGGAGGTCCTCTTTATGGATGCAACATTTGTCACAGCCGGGACCTCTGATGACAAACTACGTTCTTTTCAGTATTTTAATAAAATAGAAAGGTATTTTTTTGGATGTCCAGGCGAGCACGAGGAAGGCGTTGTTAAACACCACATCGTTTCTATCCTGCGGAGACTTCTAAAGAGCGGAGTGACTGACAGTGTGCGAGGATGCTCTGAAAGTGCGCAGGCGGCGCCCCTCGCCTCAGCGTCACCGGAGGGTGGGGGGCGCGGTCTGAGAAGACTTCTCGCAGGAAGTGACTCCCTTACAGAAGAGGATTTGCTCCGTTTTTGGAGGACAGGGTGGAGAGAATTTTCTTGGCCCATGGAGTTAAGAGGTGTTAACTCTCCTCTTAAGAGAGTTCAGAGGACAAGCGAGGGTAGGAGTTTGGACTTGATCCTCAGAACAATGAGGGGCAGGTGGAAGGAATGTAAGCATAGGACTGACATGGATTGAGGAGGTCAAAATCGGAGATGGGGAGACTAACTCTATATTTTCTCTTTAAATAGTGATAGGGAGATAAGGAAAGGGTAGTGAACTAGAAAGGGAACTTGTCACCCAAGGCACACTTTCCCGGATGAAGCACCTGAAGCACGTTGAGAGGGTGTAAACACTAAAGAAATGGGAGGAAAAGGGCTGGATGTGGCTCCGGGAAGCCCCTGTCAGGTGATAGACCCCACAGTCAGATAGGGAGTTGAATACAGGCAAACCTCCTTCACGGGGCTTCATGGGTTCTGTGTTTATTACAGTCTGAAGGCAAGACCCTCCACCAGCAGAAAGATTAGCCCTCGTTTTATTGCGGTGGTCTGGAACCGAACTGGTATTATCTCCAAGGTCGGCCTGTAGTAACTCAAGAAACTAAATCACAGGAAATTACCCGAGCCTTGAAGAATTGGGCCCCTCCTGTATACGGACACTGCTCCCATAGAAATGCTTCCACAGGCAGCGGGCGTCCCCGCCTAGCGCAGAGCGCTCTGCAACGCTGGCACCCCCAGGATAAGGCTAGAGAGGCGCCCTGAGACAGAAACGTAAGTCAACTTCACTGGCTCAGAGCAGCCACCGGTTCATCCGCAGCAAACGAGGGGCTTGCTGGTCGGGCGAAGGGACAGCCCTACTGGGCGGGTTGGATCGCAAGGGGAGGCAGGGCCAGAGAGTGGTGCCACTTCCCTCGGAAGTCCCGCGGCTCGGGCAGCCGGCCGCCCAGCGCTGCAGGGCACCCGCTGCGCTGCTGAGAGGTGAGGGGCGCAGCGTCCCCACCGCGGGCACCGTCTGCTAGGGCGCACTGCGTGGGGCGCGAGGCGCGGGTCTCCAGGAGAAAGCGGGCGCCACCGGATCGTTCCTTCCTTCCGAGTTCACTAGCTTGACCTCAAAAACACAAGCTGTGTCTTTGGCATTTCTGGATTTAGAAATAAGCATCATCCCAGCATGAGCAGCCAGAGTCTGCTGTAACGTTTTATTTTTAAAAGAAAAAAGGACTTGTAAAGTTTGTTGTTTCTGAAATAAAAGAATTAACTTCTGCAAAACAACAATCATCAGAAGGCGCGAGGCGCGGAGCTCTGTCCCCAAGGGGGCCATGGGCGGAAGGGCGGGTGGTCTTCGGGGGCTTCGGGGGCGAGGGGCTCGCCACCTGGATCTTCGGGGGCGTGCGGGGCGGAGACAAGCAGGGCAAGGGGCGGGGCACTGGGGAAGCGCGGGGCGGAGACGCGCATTGCGGGGGGCGGGGGCGCGGCACCCGTGGGCGCGCGGCACCTGTGGGCGCGCAGGGCGGAGACGCGCATTGCGGGGGGTGGGGGGCGGGGGCGCGGCACCTGGGGGAGAGCAGGGCGGAGACGCTCAGTGAGGGGCGGGGCCGGTAGGAGCAAGAGGCCGAACGTGGGGGCGGGCGTGGGATGGGCGCGGGGCGGGGCACGCAGTGCGGGGAGCTCTGGTGGGCGCAAAAGGCTGGCGTGGAGCGCGCAGCGGGGGCGCGCGCGGAGCGGGGACGCGCAGTGCGTGCGGGGGCGCGCGTGGGGCGGGGGTGCGGCGCCGCCAATCCCAGACAAAGGCCGCCCCGTAAATCATGTGGTGCCGGGAGGAAGTCGGCTTGTTTGCTTTCCTCCCTCAGCCTGCCGGGCGGAGCGATGCGCGGAGACCCCTGCGGGGGCGACCAGCCCCGATGAGGCCCGAGCCCCCGGCCGCGCCGCAGCGCCCCTGGACCGATGGCGGCTCCGCGCTGGGACCCTCTCCGAAACGACTCACTGCCGCCCACGCTGACCCCAGCCGTGCCCCCTTACGTGAAGCTCGGCCTCACCAGCGTCTACACCGCCTTCTACTCGCTGCTCTTCGTGTTCATCTACTTGCAGCTGTGGCTGGTGCTGCGCTACGGCCACAAGAGGCTCAGCTACCAGAGCGTCTTCCTCTTTCTCTGCCTCTTTTGGGCCTCCCTGCGGACGGTCCTCTTTTCCTTTTACTTCAGGGACTTCGTGGCGGCCAATGCACTCAGTCCCTTCGTTTTCTGGCTGCTCTACTGCTTCCCCGTGTGTCTCCAGTTCTTCACTCTCACACTCATGAACTTGTATTTCACGCAGGTGAGTTCGGCGGGCGGGAGGACCTGGCGATGGCTCAACTGGCAGGTGGCCCCGCGCAGCGCTCGGTGCGAGGGCGAGGGCAACGCGGGGGCCGCTCGCAGAACCAGGGGCTGGGAGTAGGGGAAACGTACAGGTTCTGGGTCGTCTGGGCCGGTCCTATCTACCTGCAGGCGTTTCTCTCGGGCCACACCCTCTCACCCCCAAAAGAGGCGAAGGAGGACAGTGAGGGCTGGAAGCCAGGCCACCTGTGAGTCTCTGCCCCTAGCGGAGCACCATCCAGTGGGTGTGGGCCCCTCTCCGCGCCGGGAGCGCAGCATCTTAGGCGCACAGCAGAATAGGTGCTGGCAGGTGTGTTCCCTGGGAGACTTGAACTCTAGAATTTTCCCTCCACCCTCCCACCCCAGCCTGGAAAGATCATCTGCACTTTTCGGCGAGGGTGACTTTTGTGAGTGGTGGCAGGTGGGACCGGCCTCGTTTGGGTGAGACGTTTAGAGCCTCCAGCCAGGAGCCCCACTGTCCTGCGACTTACTGACTCACTCCCAGGAGTGCCGGAGAGCAGTCCTGGGCGACACCCAGCCGGCGCCAGGCCCCGGGCACACGCCTGTACGGTTGCTGGGGCGCTTTTACAGGAGTCATTTTATGGGGAGCATTGTTAATAAGCTAATGGGAGAACATGCCTTAATGAAAGCAGAATCATTGTAAAGTACTTTGCAAATACTGTGGTAAGCATTGTGTAAAGTTTAATCACTCCCACCGCCATCACGCTCGCCACCGCTCTCACGAGCTTCCCGCAGCACTGAAACGTGCGATCCACTAGGACTGCGCGCAGGGCGGGAGGCGGGGTGGGGGGCGGTGGCGGCGGCGAGGGCGGCGGCACGTCACCTGCGGAGGGTAATTTAGGAGCTGCCTCCTGGGCAGAGGCTTGGTCCAGCGGGCATTCCATTCCTTTTAACAGCGTCTCTTTCTCTAAAGAAAATGTCATCGATTAAAAAAAGAAAACCAAAGGTAGGAAACAGACTGATTGCCCTGGTGTAGTGGGAGTCCGTGACTAAAAATGTGGAGGAAATACCTGCCGCTAAAAAATAGCCTATGTGCTATGTAGAAGCTCTCATACTCAGAGCAAAATGGATCTACATGAATACACTAGACCCGTCCTATTAGTCCCGGGCATTAGTGTATTTTCTGGTTGAGGAATGATGTGTGTTATGTCTTCAAACCCTACTTTTAAGCTCAAAAACCAGTTCAGGCAGCCAGCTCCTCTGCAGACACCCCAGCTTCGTAATTGGCTCAAAAGGGGCGGCTCCAGCAAGACAGAGGAGTCAGGTGGGCTGATGTTACTTCAAGAACTGTGACAAGGGTCATACTGCACGTTGAGATCGGTGTTCCGGTCCCTTCCTGAGACTGCCCTCCCTGGCTCTGGTAATCACGTGCGCAGTCTGCTGGGTTCGGGGCAGAGGCTGCACATTCCGCCCCCCGCCCCGCCCCCACCATCTGCTGGTTGGGGAGTAAATGCTGAGTCAGGGACAGGGTGACCAGGCAGACAGCCACTCACGCTCAGCGGCCCCCGGCCACGGCACCCCTTCTTTCCATCTCCGGGTCTTTTGTCCGCTCCCTAGGGTGGCTGGCAGGAGGGGGTGGCACCCAAGAGCTGGCATCTTGGACCCGGCAGGGCAAAGCCGTTCCCTGGCGACCTGACAAAACCGATGCTCTGGGGAGTCACCGAGGGGCCACCCGTCGGCTCCCAGCTCTGATGCTGCTCTGTCCCCATCCCTCCTCCCCCAACGTCTGCTCTTAGCCGGACACCGCATGCACCAGGGGAAGGAATTGCTGCTTCCGGGGCCCCACCTCGGAGCGAGCAAATCCGAGTCTGGAGAGGGGGCCGCAGCCCCTGGTTAGGCAGCAGGAACCGTGCGGTAGGCGCGGTTCTGAGGGGTGAGCGTAATTATTTCTCACAGCAACCCTGTGAAGAAAGTACTGACGGGCCCCCCTTTTACAGAGGTTGGTCAGACAGGTTAAATGACTGGCTCAAGGTCACAGAGTGGGTGCACGGTGGAGCCGTGGTCACCCACGTCTGTGACGTCTGAGTGTCAGGCTTGTCCCTCATGGTACAGCGTTTGAAACCTTTTACTACGGAAACCATACCCTCATCTCCTGTGATACCTGGTTCTTCAGGAGCTCACCACCCGGGTGGGAATAAAAAGTGCACACGACACGGCTCAGTAACAACTCCAGGGATTCCTGGGGGACGACAGCCAGGCTTGGGGAGACCTGAGTGGGACCTGCGTCCTCAGAGACGGAGGCCTGAGGGTCCCAGGAGCTTGGGATCTGCAGGTGGCAGGACCCCCGGGCAGGCAGAGAGTGAGAAGGGGCAGGTGGAGGCCTGGGGGGCACTCTGGGCGGGGGCAGCTGGCTCCTGGTGGGTTTGCACCAGCTCCTGAGGCCGGAGGCGAGGGCGTGGAATGCACGGGAAGGGGTCCCGAGAGGTGAGGCGAGGTTCTTTCTGTGGCTGTGGGTGCTCCCGCTCCTCTCCCTGGCAGCCCCACAGGAGGGCCTCAGCGCTCCCCTGAAGCCCGGAGAGCGGAGGCAGCGTGTGGGCAGCGCAGCCCGTGTGGCGCCGGCTGCAGCGGCGGGGCGGCCACCGTCTGGCCCGTCCAGGTCTGGGTGTGGGGCGTGTCCTGTGCTCTTAGCTTCTCCCTATTGTCATCTTTGGAATCTGGCTCTTCTGGGGCTGGCCCAGGGCGGGACAGGGTTGTCTCCTGTGACCCTGTGACCGTCCACCTCCGGTCTGGCTCTGCCTGTGGGCGACCCTGCCAGGTGGCCACGTCTGCATCATGGGGTCAGCTTCGTCCTGGCTTCCTCCCTCTGCCTGTCTCCGTCCTTTCCCTTCTTCCGTCCCAGTCCCTTCTTCAGGTGGGGCCACGCAGGCGACGGGCTGCCCCCGCCCAGGGTCCCCCCAGGCCTCTACCTGCCCCTTCTCACTCTCTGCCTGCCCGGGGGCCCTGCCACCTGCAGAGCCCTCAGACCTGCACGCCCAGGTGGGCCCCTGCCAGCTTTGCTCTGATGTCTGCACCTGCTGGGCAGCACATCCTCGGCTGAGCAAGGATCTGGGGGGAGCAGGGTCCCTTTCTCCCTGACCCCTGAGTAGGGCCCGTGGTGCTGTGTCCTCTGTGACCTGGGGCAAGGCCAGCATCCCTCCTGGGCACTGCTCTGCTGCCCACAGGCTGGTGACTTCTCCGCTGTCTTCTTCCTCAGATGGGCTGCGAAGGCAGGAGCTGGCGGTAGCTGGACTGGTTCTGCCGACTCTCGGCCACCCTGTGTGGGTGCGGGGGAAGCGGGGGCACGTTAGGAAAATGGCGTGTTGAGGACCCGGTGTTGCCAGCTCCAGGCCGTGCGCCAGTCCCGGGGACCCTCGGCTCCCTGCCGCCCCAGCGGTGGCAGGGCCAGGGCTCAGACTGGCCTTTCCTCTGGGGTCTGTCCCTGCGGCGTCGCACTAATGACCCTCTTTGATGGGGTTTTGGGCAGGGCAGGACCCTGAGGCCTGAGCACAGGGTGCTGTGGGGACCTCTGCCTCCAGGCCGGCCAGCCCTGGGGTGAGCAGGTCTGTCTGCTGGGCGGGGGCAAGGGCCACGGGGTGGCAGGTCATGATGTGGTGGTGGGCTCGGTGACATCAGGGCAGGAGTCCTCTGCTGTTCTCAGAGTGGTGGGTCTGGGCCGCAGACCCTGGGGCTCCTGTGTTTGGTTGGCCTTGGCGGTGACAGAGTCCTGCCGTGACGTAGGGGCTGTGCGCCGCAGGAAAGGGGAAGTGAACCCTCTCGCCGGGGGTGGGGGTGGGGTGGGGGGGTGCGACTGGTGAACACTGATTCAGGAGCCAGGACGGTGCCGCGCCTCAGGGGGCGACTGGGGGCCGGGGCGCACGGGGTCTGGGTGCATGGTGGGTGTCAGTGCTCGCTTTGGGGCCTGGGGTAGGGTGCCAGTGAAGGCCTGTGCCTCAGGAGGCAGCCTCGGAGCGAAGGAGCAGGGACCCCGTGGGCAGAGCTGGGTCTGAGTCCTGGCCGGGCCCCCAGGGCGGCTCCCCGGGCCAGTGCTGACCTTCCCTGCCAGGAGAATGGCTGCCGTGCCACCCACGCCAGGCTGGGGCAGCCGGAGGGGCGCGTCTGCTGCCCCCTCTGCTCCGCCCCCTCGGGCAGGCCGCTCCTCTGGTGTCTCACAGCCGGGACCCAGGCTCTGCCTGCACCAGCCTGCGTGTCATCAGCGCCACTTGCCCTCCAGGCGGCAGCCGACGTGTGACCTGGCCGTGGTTCCGGGCTTCCCTCAGGGAGAGGGGGAGGGTGCCAGCGGCTCCCAGCGCAGCCCCTCGGACCTCGAGCCAAACAGACCGGGAGGCTCGCCCATGAGCCCCTGGGCCTGGAGGACTCTAGGGATCTGGCCCAGCTCACCAACCAGGCGGGGGGGGGGTGGGGGGGCAGACCCCTGCCGGGCTGGCGCCTCGCTGCCCATGCACCCCAACTCCTCAGGCACCCCGGTCCTCACCCGTGCTGACTGGGAACCGGTAGGCACCGAACTTTGAAGCTCTGGCCCTCTCTCCACCCACCGGGAAGGGGGTGCGGGGGTCTTGCTGTGGCTCAGCTTCGTCAGGGATGTTTACCAAACGCCTGTGGCGTGCCCCAGCCTGGAAGCTGCGAGCGGGGAGCCTTTTGGTGATTATGAAGACAGAAGCTTAGAAATGCACGTGGCTTGCCAGTCCCCAAGTGCCTGACTTCAAAGCTGGGAGCCGCAGTCACACAGGGCCAGGGAGTGGGCCTGGCCTGGCCTGTGTGCTCTGCACTGGCCCTGGCACTGGCTCCTCTTGGTCACTCTGTGGGCTCACAGCCACCAGAGCTGTGTGTGCAGGGTGCAGGCAGAGTAGGTGCACAGTTATTTGTGTGGAAAATAACACAATAATCAATAAGTAATAATCCAAGGATAAACTCATTGTTTATGTACCCACACCTGTAAGCCTA